TAATTGCTGGAGAGAAAAGAATTAATTTGGGAATAATGAACTATTAGTTGGAGCATCTAATTATTGTGTAATTATTGTGTTATAATTTTTATCATTTATTTACCAACATACGCTGCATTTCCCTTAACAAATAAGATATAAAATTTACCCATCGCATTGCTAGAACATTTCCCTAATACTTTTAATATCATTGCCATTTTTTCCTCTGCAAAATCATTCTGCTCTACTACCACCTCTGGCTGCACGTCTCGATCCCTACCGAATAGGCGTTCTCCGACTATCTGGCGAGTCTATTACACTGGTTAAGTGAAGGAGCTCCAGCCGGACTTAAAGTTAACCGACATCTGGCCAGGCTTTTAGGGATATTTTTTCTCTCCCACATCGCAGCTTGGCTCGCCTATGTTCATTGGCTATTTCACCTTCTAGAATTCTTTACTGGTTCTCCCGGCTCCGATGCAGCTTCGGCCTCCACTCATCTGCAGGGCCAACTGCAAACCAATCCTAGTGGCTGGCGCATAATTTTGGCCGGGCTTAGTCTGATCTGGGCTGTGGCTCTCTTCTGGACGGTTTTTCGCTTGGGCCTTTTGCCATGGCAGCGTCGGCTGAGGCAAGAGTAAGTTGATAAGTGATACGATGGCATGGGCTGGACTGAAGGTCATTCTGGTCCAACGTGAAGTGAGACTTGATTTTTCTCATTATTTTCCTGGGCATGCTTAACCAACTGTATATTCCTTTTTTGTCATCTGGTCCAGAGGTCTTAATTGCAAATATACTAAACTATCTTGGATTCTTGCTCTGATAAAGTCTTTCACAGTGCTGATGAAAGCTTAGCATAGGTTAATCGGGGTCGCAGCATGGTGAGTCGAGGATTTTTTCACACGATACAACAATCTTCCTTGCACGGCAATTCTCCTGTAGTTTCCGGCGAGGCCACATCATAAACTCCTTCCAACCAACTTTTCCTTCGAAATGGAAAGTCATGTCACAAATATTTCATATTCACTTGTAAACCTTATCACCAATATGATTGTTAGTCATGAGTTGGCCCCGTTAGATAAGTATTTGCTTTGGAAATATAATTATTGCTTATTTTCTTTCAACTTCAATTTTTTAGGCTAATTTTTGTGTCGCATTTCGTATCCTTTTCGCTATTTTTCTTAAAGGCGATGGCTTTTTCTACGATTCCTGGCTAAATTTACTTCCCTCTCCATTCGCCTTAGTCTGGCCCTGCCTGTCTGCATGATGAGGGACGCATTCACTCTTAGTGGTCTGCATCTCTACTGCTTCTACATATATGCTACAAGGTAAATCATTATGGGCTTCCCGTATTTGCTAATTTTCTTCTACGATATGATTTTACTCCACATGACTGGCTCAACCCAAAAGACACTAATGAGATGATTTTATCAATAAGAAAGCTTTTTAACTATGGAAACTACTTTTACTCCATTGATCAATTTATAATAAACATGATCACATTGCTACCTATTTGGTACATTTAAGGAGACGGCTAGCAGAAAGCTGAATGCTGCAAATGAAGCTAAGGTGGCCCATTATAATGCAAAATTGCATTTATATCTGAATGCTCTATAATTTATTTTTTTATTGCTAACAGAACATCTGGTTGGTAAACTAAGGTGCTATGCAATTCTATAAGTAAATAATTAAATAAATAAATATATATATATATATACGCCACTACGTAGTCTGGCGTAGTGGTTAACGTGTTGAGATTGCACGCTGCACTGTCATGGTTCGACTACCGCTATGGTTGTCGATAAGACAGATGCGAGGTCGAAACTGCAGTCCAGCATGAATGAGAATAACTTTTGTGTAAGCAATGCTATGCGGAATTCAATGGAAACGTCAGCTTCGCTCATATCATTGTGAGAAAATATAACTACCAGACTTTCATTACCTTAAACGAAATAGGTGAATGCATCTCAGACAAAAGGCCACACGATCCTGGTCTTCATACCTTCCATTTTACATTAAATCTGAAAAAAATAATTAGTATCTTAAGAGTATTTACATAGGTTTCAAAATTACCGCTTCAGGTTTTTTTGTGATTCAAGATTTCGTATTTTATCTGCCCATGAATAGGGGATAAGAGAGTTCTTTGTCTCTTATTTTTACATAGACTTGTAAAAAAAACTATCATCTGGAGCAGATTTCAATTTAGGCATCGTTTTTGCCTCTTCCTTTACTTACCCAACCTTAAAGAATTATCATTGAGCCACATTATGAGTGGTATTTATTGTTTGACCCCATGTTACTCCCAAGGTAAAGCCTCAAACTCAAATATTTTTATCTACTATTTACTAGGTTGTTTCGTCTTCAGCTTCTTACCGTGAGTTCAACCTGGCGTCTTTGTCGCAACGAGACGAAATGGAACCCGCTGCGTTGCAGAATCGACGCTTTGCCCGACGACGAGGGCGCTCAACTGTTGGCTGACGTCGATCGCGTGGTGCACGAGGCTGTGTCACGGAATCGTGGCTCATCTTTACCTCAGGAATCAGATTCTCAGACAGCTAACTTTGAACCCCATTTTCCTTTATCTACCGAAACAGTTTCAGCTTCTGTTGCCGGCTTGCAAGTTGGCAATCCAACAATTATACTCGGATCCACACCCTCTCTCTCAAATCATCAATCCATGCGAATAGAATCGCCTGGTACGCGGAGATTAGCCAAAATTGTGGGCCCCGCGAAACAGATTGATCGCATGTTTCTTGCCACTCTGTTGCTAGCTTCAGGCACTTGCTTCTTGCCTACTACTTTGGCTTTTTACGCAATTTTTGCCATGGTAATATTGTCTAATATGCTTTGGCTTAAATGTTAGCTAGCATAACTTGAAACTTTAGCTACAAGTTTTGGAAATTCTTTA